CCCTATGCCAATCGATGGCGTGCATTGTTTTTGTTATCAATGGCTTTTGGGCTGCAGCTATTCCATGAAAATTCATGGCATGCAGCTCTAGACATATCGTGGAAACACTTATAGGATTGCCTGTGGCTGCTCACATCTCCAAACACAAATTCTCCAGGGTCTGATGGCGAGATGAGGTAACCAGCCTTCTCAAGGTGCATTGGCTCCTGTCAGTCGGTATTTTACGCCTACCTGATCGTTTCTTGGGCTCATTGTCACCTGTGGCCTTTTTTTCTTCAGCACGTTGCCAATTGTTGACCTGGGAATTTTTAATTTTTGTGCAATAGCACGTACAGACACTTCCCCCAAATGACATCCAACTATCCTTCCCATATGAAATTCTGTTAACTCTTACTCATCTGTCGGTGTACAAATTCAAAATTACTTCTGGTCGAAGCTGTGTCCCATGACTTTTGGTAGGGTAGTGTATATATATATATATATATATATAATTGTTATTAAAGCTTGGCATGACTTGGAGTTTAAGGTGCTTCACTCGTAATCTGGGACTCATGCAACTAAAACCCATCACTATGCATGCTCGTCCTTTCACCTGTGGGTACATTATAATTTTCCCTTGTCTATCACTAAGAAATTAAGGATGGCTAATGCAAACAGCCCTCAAGAAGCTTTGCCTAAAATAAAAATTACTAATTATAATTTTTGTATCATATATTTTAATTTGAAATAAAAAGACTGGTGTTAGCATTTGTTGTGGAATTCAGTTTCCTAGTTATCATGTTTTGAAATGAGAAGATCCCTTTTAGAAATAATCTAAAATGATCACATTATAACCCATACAGTTGTAATGAGTAGCTCCCTGGTGGGCGTAATTGTTGGGGTTTCAATGAAAACTACTCATTACAGCAACTTTATTTATTGGACGATTTGTCTTGAGCTACATGTCGCTAATTCCAGGAAGTTTACAGTTAGACTAAAGAAATAGAGTCTCAGGCCAATGGTGAATACTTAGAATAACATTTAACAACTCCTCAGGACATTACAAACTTTCAACATTAGTTATATTGGATTACTACCTATATACTTGTATTAAACACTTTTATTTAGATACATTTACTATCTTCTATAGTTCTACACTAGCTGATTAAGAGAGAGAAAGATTATACTTACAGTAGAGTTGGGTTATTGGAAGTCTTAGCCACATTTGACATCTTCATTGTCAGCTTTTCTAGGAACTCTTCAGAACTTTCAGAAACTCTTCAGAGCCTGGAAGTCTACTTCCTGGAGGAACTGATTTTTCAGTCCCTGACATGGGTTTTTAAACTAACTTTTCTTGGTATTATCTCGACCCACTAAATGGGACACGGCATCACCCACAAGTAGTCCTGTGCTCCTATTGGTTACTTTAGGGGAATTCCCGGGCTAAACCATAACCAGAACTCTCAAGTAATTAGTTATAGATAAGTAGTGTTAGCCAGCCACCTATTCACTTGTACTGCTACACCCATGTTCTGTAATTGATATCGCCTCAAAGTGCTGATTTTACTCACCAAATCAAAACTTTTCTATAGCTTTCCTAGTTCTAAGAAGTTGAGGTCAGTAATCCATCAATCTGTCACAAGTACAAGTGCACTCATCTTTTTGTAATAGGTACAGAGTCCCAAGAAACTTCTTAACTCTCCCACATTGTCTGGTGTTGGCCAATCACGAACTGCTTTCACCTTGTCAGGATCAGTTTACACATCATGCTCATTTACAAAATGACCTAAGTAAAGCTCCTCTTTCTGGAACAAGTGGCATTTCTTGAGATGGAATTTGAAGTTTGCTGCTTTCCAACACTTGAATACTTCCTCTAGCCGGGACACTTCCTCATCAAAAGTTGTTGCAAATACAATGACATCGTC